ATGGCTCAGCATGTGCTTCCTGTAGAAACATTTGGTCTTATGTTTTAATTTATTTGTGCTGCTGCAGTTATATTCTCATGTAAGTCTTGTCCTTGTGTGTTTAAATAAAACTCTGCCGACTATTACACTTATTTCTAATCCACTTGGTGGTCCCCAAAGTGTGGTCTGGGGACCTCAGATGGTTCCAGGAGAGAATTAAACATACTTTTATAGCAGAGCCTTTCCTGATTTTAGTTAACTGTATTTTAATTCCTTAAATTGTTGTTTTATCTGTTTTATCATGAAACAAAACCTGCGGTTTATTTCCTGCAATTACTAATAATTTCACGGAAACTGTATTTCTGTGAAAGCACTTTGTAACACGGATTTTGAAAAATGCTCTAAATGAAGAGATTATTAATATAACATTATATAAAGTTACAGTCATTCTGATTCAAGTCATATCTAACAGCAACAAAGGGACAAATGTCCATTAAATCTATAGATACCACTTATATTTATATTTAAAATGGCATGTTCATATATTTAATGTGGATAATTTAAGCATCAGTGGAGACGAGCGAAGACTTCACTGGGATGCTACATTAGCTGAGGTGTGTTTGATTGACACCGTAATTAAATTAAACCTTTATTAAAATAATTTTTTATTAATCACTTTAATTGGTTTGTACATGCAAGGAATTAGACTCCAGTTGCTCTCACACACAAGATACAGAAACACACATAGAGCCAAAACAAGGTCTGCAAACATAAACATATAACTGTTATGTAATAATAAACGCTACTGTAAAGATATTAGAGCTGCAACAATAACTTTTATTATTGAGCAATCTTGACTAATTAAATTTTAATCTATGAATTGTTAAAAAATGGCATTCACATTTTAGCAGAGCTCATGGTGATGTCTTTGTCCAACTTAACAGTCCTAAACCTTAAGATATTAAATGTATTAATTTATAAACAAGGACAATATTCCAAGCTGCAACATTTGAATACTGACAGACTATCATTCCTTTTGACATCATGGGAGACTCAGGTTAAAACAACAATAGACACTAAAACATGGGAGGACATTTTACTTTTACCTTCGAAGATATCCATATGTAACAGATTCAGAGAAATGCAATATAATATCTTACAAAATGTCTATATATCCCCCTATATGTTTAGTGAGGGCCTGTCCAAACTGCCCAAAATGTGACTATTTTAGGGACAAGATTTCACTGCCTCTGGGAATGCGAAAAGATTCAACTGTTTTGGCAAACTGTATGTGATGAGGTTAGTGTGATAATCAAGCAGCAATTCCAGCCTAATCCAATAGTATTTCTATTGGGATATATCCCTGAATCACTAAGATCATATAAGAACACCTTTTGCTTATATTGGGCTAAAAGGCTGTTATGACCAAAGGGGTGGGAGATGAACCTCCTTCAATACATCTGTGGAAGTCTATGATATCAGACTATCTCTGGAAAGACTAAGAGTTGGTATTAATGGTCGGAGGGACCTTTTTACAGCAATGTTTGGCAAAGTGCTGGAGTACCTGGGAACTCAGAGTGCAACTGCCTGAAATGCCAGATCTTATAAGGACTTTTGAGATCATTGCTATGGATGTATTTTGGATTTGCTACATATTTCATATAATCTGCATATACACTGTGCTGTACTGTTGTAATTTTGAATATGTTCAATAAAAAGAATGTTAAAGAATGCAGTTTTGCTTGAAAAATGTCTGAAATAATTAATCAAAATAGTTGCAATAATTCCTTTAATTGATATTGCAGCTCTAAATTATATAAAAACAATTATATGGACAACAACATCACGTATCTCTATACAGGCCAAAATGCTAGTCATTTGTGTATGGAAGTCCATTCATGCAAAGACAATAAGCACATGCATGAAACGTAATTTTGATTGCAACAGTATCTTTTGAGATGCTGCACTATCATAATTAAGATTTAAGTTATTTTCTGAATTCTGATGCCAAATTAAATTTTTATCATCTTTATCTGTTGATTTTTCTGACATGAAAAGACTCCCATACAAATTCATTTGGTGAACCCTGTTTTGTTGAACATGTCTTTATCGGTACGAGTGATGATGTTGAAGGATGGATTTATTTCCCTAATTCTTCTCACTGAAATAACGCTCCTGCTGTGAACCGTGACTCCTGCCGTCCTTTAATTGATCAGAGATGAGATCAAACCTAAAATCAGTTGAGTCTCTTTTTTACAGCTGACATGATAATGAGAAAAAAACAACTTGTGTGGGAGCAGTTAAAGGGTTTTTCAGACGTCAGAGGTGAGACGCAAAATCTAACAAGTAGACTACAGCCACACTGTAATTTAACAACTGCATCAGCAAAACTATGAACATGATGCATCTAAAAACGCAGGTCCAACATTTCTAAACACATCCAAAGAGATGTCTGTAGGTCAAACACTAACTCTAGAGTCAAACATTATGAACTTACTCACCCAAAAGACCCAGTGAATGTTTCTCTAATAGTCCTGTGTGTCTCAGTCTGATATCTCTTCTTCCTCTGAGCCATAGAGCTCCACTGTTGTCTAAAAACTATTAAAAACACATCCTGGTTGGACTACTGCAATCACCCATCCATCCACCCCATCCTGCTTATGTGGACTTTCTCTATAATACATCACTCGACTTCTTCCATTTGCTGCAGGTGCACAGCCGCTAAAGGTCGCTGCCACAATAAACGTAAATATGGGTGGTAATAACGTGCTGAACAAACAACCTATATTTGTGTTTTACTTCATGTTCCTTTATGATCGTGAACACACACTGTGGTTTATTCTGACTCAGTTCATCATACCTGCTGCCCCAAATACTCACTAGTCACCACATGTGTGGAAGAAGAATTCAGATCGTTTATTTGACAAATGGTCATGTTTTCCCACAGACTATGTCATCGTGGGAACATTACAATCTTCAAATGCAACACATTCTCATTGTCAACTCGTTACATATGGACGCTTGGTAAGCACCCTTTGGCGTCATTTTTTAAACACACAAACATACAACTCCTGCTGAGCATTTCAAAATAAAATTAGTGGTTAACAAGCACTTTTTGGTTTAGGCACCATAACTACTTCTATAGAACTAAAATCTAAAAAATCATGGTTTGGGTTAAAATAACTACGTTATTTACGTGAGTTAAGTTACATAAAGTAAAAAGATTCAATGTTGAGTTTTTGTTTTACACAGGAAACAAACACTGGTCTCCTGGGTGAAAGTCTGGTTTCTGACCCATCCATCCACCCACCCATCCATCCATCCATCCATCCACCCATCCACCCATCCACCCATCCATCCATCCATCCATCCATCCACCCACCCATCCATCCATCCATCCATCCATCCATCCATCCATCCCAACATATTCTCACTCCCGACGTCACATACTGACGCTTGGTCAAGGCCCTTCGCTTCGTTGTCAGTTTTACACGTTTAAGGCTCCGCGGTCAAGTTAGCAACGCTTAGCAACAATAAATATGCAACATCCAGTTACACTTTCAAAATGAAATGCTAGCATTTTGAAACATCGCCATTTTGAAACGGCATGAAAGTTATGAAACGTTGCAATTTGGTTAGGTTTAGGCAACAAAACTACTTCGTTAAGGTTAGGAAAATGTCATGGTTTGGGTTAACATAACTACTTAAGTCAGTTAACACACGTCACTTGCGTAACAATATTTAATGTTAACTTCTTTTTTTTACTCCACACAGGACACCCGGTTCAAAGTCAGGGTTCTGGCCCACATTACATTTATTCATTTAATCCAAAGAGACTTACAATTACTATACATGTCAGAGGTTGCACTCCTCTGGAGCAACTAGGGGTTACGTGTCTTGCCATAGTGGGGAGTTGAACCCGGGTCTCTCACACCAAAGGCATGGGTCTTATCCACTGCCCCATCCACCTCTTTCCTCAGTTGTTTCTGTTAAATATCATATACCTACCTTTACCGTCAAAAACTGACGCTACAGGGCTTCCCCCACTGTGTTGAACTGTGAAGTTATAGGGATCCCCAGTGCGTTACAAACTGACGCCGATGGGTCTTGACCATGTGGCCATATGTGATAAGTCATGGAGAAAGAGTTGTCCATGAATTCAACCCAACGACCTCCTTAAGCCCCTGATATACTTGCTTTATAACAATGCATAGGCATAGAAAAGCAGCAGCGACGCAAACGGCAAGTTCACTTGCCAGCGTACTTTGCTTGTCCCTGGAGGATTAAACGTGAATCCACTAGGGAGCAGACCAGCGCTGGATCATCCCTGGGCGACACCAGATTATCTTCCTTGACAACTTCCAAATTTGCACATTGTAACCAAACCAAACATAGCGAGGAGGTTATGGTTTTAATGAGACATCATATAGATATCGGTAATTGAGGACTAGCTCCAGGAGTTTTATTGTAAAGATCCTGCCATTAATCTCCTATGTTAAGTCTGCTGCTGACCTGCCGGTCAGGTCGACACATTCATGTGCTGAATTGCATATTGTGGACGCGTAGCGATAATTTCTGGAGACGTGCACAACCTACGCTCTAAAGGAACCATCTTGTAAATGCGATTGCGATGCGATGAAACCAATTATTTGGGGGGCTTTACTCAGGGGCTATTTCGCTAAAGGTCTTCCCCAAGTGTCTTAAAAATGATGCCAAGGGGGCTTTGATCGTGCGACCATATGGGAGTGAGAACAGGTTGTTGAATGAGATGTCATTTGAGACTGAAAGGTCAGTCTTTATCTGGAAACAGTAGTTGACAAATGTAACCACAAGGTCAGGCAGAGTCTCACCTTTTAAGCCAACTTAAGCAAGAAATCCTTAAAGCGGAAATGTGGTCCATCAACATGGGCGAACTCTTACTGCTGATCCTGTGATGCAATCGAGAACTGTTATTATTTCACAGGGATCAAAATGTTAACTTTACTTTATTTCCCTACACCACCCTTGCAGACACTGCTAAATGAGCACGATGACCTGATCCAAAATGGACGAGCCGACCAACAACAGCTTGGCTCTAACGGACTACCTCCTGGCCAGTAATGGCCTGGACTATGACATTCCTCTGGACGAGATCCCGGACACCACGCAAGGGCAGGCCTTCTTCGTGGCCACCATTGTCATTGCCGTGGTCCTGGTGGGCATCATGTTGGTCTGTGGAGTGGGGAACTGTCTGTTCATCGCCAGCCTCGCCCGCTACAAGCAGCTCCGCAACCTGACCAACCTGCTGATCGCCAACCTGGCCGTGTCGGACGTGCTGGTGGCGGCGGTGTGCTGTCCTTTCCTACTGGACTACTACGTGGTGAAGCAGCTGTCGTGGGATCATGGCCTGCTGCTCTGCGCCGCCACAAACTACCTACGCACCGTCTCTCTCTACGTGTCCACCAACGCACTGCTGGCCATCGCTGTGGACAGGTGGGTCCACAAGATCTCTCAAATATTACTGAAAATATTTAAATGTGATCTGGTGGGAAATTGGCTCATGGGTCGGGCAGATAGCTCCACCATTTGGTTCGTAACAAAGCACTACGATTTGGCTCGATATTTTTCTGTTTATTCACCACTACTCCTACAAATTTCATCCAAACTTTACCAAAATGTGGCACATATTATTTAGCAGTACTTCGTACTATCTTTAACTGATTGCTGAATTATTATAGGCGGGGAGTATGTATGGAATCAGATTTGTGCCAATTTAGTCAAACAAAACCTTTTAAATATATATATATATAAAATAAGATTTGAGAGATGCAACAACCAAAAAAAACTCATCTAAAAAGTAAAATGTATAATTTTCAAAAACGTGGGACCTCCAGGTCTGAAAAGTAATCAATAGATTTGAATGTGTAGTACTCTTTTCTTCTGGTACTTCAGTACTTTTAAAACCAGGTACTTTTTTACTTCTACTTGAGTGTGGTATCTGTACTTTTACTTAAGTAGGAAAATTGAGTACTTTATACACCACTTATGATCAGCATCTGCAAAGACCCTTTAGATGGATGGTTTTTTGGCTTATGGTATCACCCTGAATACGCCTGATCTTATATGATCTTGGAAGCTAAGCAGAGTCAGGCCTGGTGAGTACTTGAAAGAGAGACCACCTGTGAATACTAAGTGGTGTAAGCTTTTTTATAAAACTATTATGGTATCATTATCACTGATAAATTATTATGTAAGCACATACAAATGATTTACATATAGGTCTCCTATGCACCTGGGTGTGGTCATGAAAATGAATAGGAGACCGCCTGGGAATACCAGGTGCTGTAAGCTTTTTAACTTCTCTTTAGAAACAGCAGAGGGCGCTGCTGCTTCTTCAGTGGAGACAGAGCAACTTGTCCCTGGACTTTGAATTATACTCAAATCATTTGTATGGGCTTCCGTAATATCGCTATTGGGTTACCCCTTCCGTGCGCCTGCGCGGCACTGAGAATTTTAGTCTTCGTCCACCCACAGCGTGGGCCTCTCCTACGTCCGCACCTTGTATATATATACACAACGGTGAGACCCAGCTTTCGGCTCCCAAAATGCCTTTTCTTCAGCACTGAGAACCAAGGTCCAGTGAGGCCTTCAACTTTGAGGGCTGCACCTACACTCATAGAATCTAGAGTTACAGTACATAACCCCTGTTCTATTGCGTATAGGCTTCGCCTTCTAAGGCTATCGCTATTGGGTTAGAGACAAAGCAGGATGAGTCACCGCCTCACTGGCCCATGCTGTACCACCAAGCACTACTCACCTGCCCAGAGCTATAAATGAGCTACCCAGTCACCTGCTATCCGCGGCATTGGTGTCAGCGTGCGCACAAGCACCGATGGCGTGACATGGGAGGCAGGGGATCGACCCATGTGTAATAGTCGGCGAACTGGATGGGTGGCCCAGCGGCTGTACAGAAGCAGGCGGGGTCACAACAGCGACCGCATCAGCTGCGCACAGAGCAGGGCCAGCGTGAGCAGTGGCCGCTCCCCCCCACCATCCCTTGGGAGAGGGCGCACCGCACACTCACAAGGGAAAATCACTCAGCCAAAACACTCGGCGGACAGGCCACCGGTTCCAACCCCTTGTTCAAACACCAGCGTTGGAATGCTGACCACTTGGAGGAGTAAAAGGACTGAGTAGAGGTGGCTCTCGACCACTAGATGGTGCAAACCACCTCACGGAAGAGACCTAGACCCTCCAGGCGCCGCCTCTCAGCGGCCGAACCCACAGGAGCTGGCCGAGAAGCAGAATAGGGGCATCACTCAGGCGTCTGTGAAGACCGAGATATGGGGCGTGACCCTGCCCAGGGGAACCCCAACGGACAGAGAGAGGGGGTCCCGCCAGTAGACCTGATTTGAACCCACAGACAGAGGAACAGCGATCAGGCGCCGTCTCTGTCTCACTGGGTCAACACGCAGGCGGATGAACCACTGCTGCAACCTTCTCATGTGCAGGAGGCCCAGGGGGACCACCACGTGAGCAGCCGACATGAGGCCCAGAAGCCTCATAATTAACAGAGCTTTCACCACTGCCCGTGGGACAATACGGTGAAGCAGCTCCACCAGAGCCTCCCCCTTCCCTGAGAGTGCTACGCTCTCCTTAGAGAGGAGTCAAGTACCACACCCAGGTAGGTGAGCCTCTGGGAGGGAGAGGAGCACTCTTCTTCCAGTTCACCGTGAAAACCCAGGTGAGACAGGTGTGCGACAAGCTTGGCCGTCTGCACCACCGCCTTGTAGCAGCATAGTGTCAAAAACAGGACCCTGATGACCAACTGCCGCAGTGGCTCCAGAGCTGCCTCGACACACTTGGAGAAAGTGCGCAGGGCCAGGGAGTAACAGAACATCAGGCAGTTGTACTGGTACTGGAAACAGGGGAGGGGGGGAGGGGGGCGAACAGCAGCCTGTGATCCCAGCGGATCAGGCTGTTCATCCATCTGTGCATCGAGCAGAAAGCCAGCCACTCCGAGTAGCGCTCTGAAAGCGGTTGGACCTGCTGATGAGGCGCCCTGGTGGCCATGATGGAAGCCACTCTGCTGCCCTTGCCACCGCACGGTTTGGGGAGGGGTGCCCAGCCACGACCCAAGGGGGATGGGCCCGCCTCAAAATGGCAGGCAGCAACCTCCGTGTTCCACGACAGGAGAGCTTAGCACCTGGCGGGGAGTAGGGAGGGTCATGGGCCCCAACACACGCCGCCATGCAGTAGGGAG